GGAGGTGAAGATTGCCATGACACGAGATTGCACCACTGCACTCCAGCCTGGGTGGCAGAGACACTCTCTTCCTTAAAAAAAAAAAAAAAAAAAAATTTCTTTTGTCGTTTTCTATTTGTTAATTTTTGGCCGTCTCTTTGTTATGTGAATTTGATTTTTTTTTTTTTTTTTTTTTTAATGCTTTGAGTAGAGAAAACTGTTGAAGCTGCCTTAGGGTGTTTTTCTACAGCATTTGAAATGTAATAACCAAATATCAAAGGGTCTAAATTAGATGTAAAAAGATGTTAATTTAAGGGTTATTTGTATAGCACATTTTAGAAATATAATTGCATTGGAATAAAGGGGTAGGAAGGAGAGGAAAGAAAATTATATGGCTGGTGTTACAAGCTACAGTTTGCCTGCAGGTATTTACAGCCTTTGAAGTATTCTAAATGTATGTCAGGCCTACATAATGGACAGGCTTCCAGGACTTAGGCCAGCTCCAGACACTGACACTTACAGTAATTTAATCATGGTTGCATTCCTAAGTGTGTGTTTCTTTTCTTTAAAGCAGCCAACAGCGCCATTACCCCTGGCTAGAGAGTGATACTGTGGTGGCCTCAAGCATTGTGCAGCTGTTCACTGACTGTATTGACTCACTGCATGAGAGTTTTAAAGGTAGGAAGATGTCAGGCTGTCTCTGCTTAGTTTTCATTTTTCCCTAAGTCATTCAGTCAGTCTTTTCTTTCTACTTTTCTCTACTGAATTTTTATTTAATAGGCAGTTATCTGTGACTGAAGAAAGGTCACTGATACAATTATTTAGTATTAAGTGTGTAATCGCTGCTTCTTCTTTTTTTTTTTTTTTTCCTTTTGGAGATGGAGTCTCGCTCTGTCGCCCACGCTGGAGTGCAGTGGCGCGATCTGAGCTCACTGCAGCCTCTGCCTCCCAGATTCAAGCAATTCTCCTGCCTCAGCCTCCCGAGTAGCTGGGACTACAGGTGCATGCTGCCACACCTGGCTAATTTTTTTGTATTTTTAGTAGAGACGGGGTTTCACCATGTTGCCCAGACTGGTCTCGAACTCCTGAGCTCAGGCTATCTGCCCGCCTCTCCTCCCAAAGTGCTAGGATTACAGGCATGAGCTACCACGCCCGGCCTTTAAGTGTGTAACTTCTTACCTTTTTTTGTTAGGTTGCTCTGAGTTTCTCAGTTATGGTAAATCTGCAGTCTTTCTCTCTTCCAGTATTGCCTATCCTGCATGTTGAGTTTCTTTCTGTCCTCCCTAACTCTTAACCTCTTTTTCATATTTTCTGTCTTTTTATTTTGCTTTATTCTGGGTGATTTCTAGAGGTCTTCCTTCCAGTTCTTTACTCTCTCTCCAGCTGTGTTTCATCTGCTTAAAATATATCAATTGAATTTTTCATTTCAGTGATTATTTTTTCCATTTCTAGATCTATTTGTTTGTTTTTCAAATCTACCCTGATCCTTTTTGGTAGTATCTTTTCTTTCATTAAAAATTCTATTTTTTATTTCCTTAAAATGTTTAAACAGGCTTACTTTATGATGTATATACAATAATTCTATTATCTGAAATTCCTGTTGGGGATTGCCTTATGCTGCTGTTTAATTTTCCTTTGAATTCTTGTTCTTGGAGGCTTGTGTCCTTGTGCATTTTTAAATTTTGTATTGTGAGCCCATATTTAGAGAGACTGATGGGAATCTCATAAGGCCTAGTCTGAGGGTATGTAAGGCCTCCAGAGAGGATTTACATTTGTTGTCAGTTGGAACTGCTCAACTTCTTGGTTTGGGGTTCCCCATGCTACAAGTTACATGAAATTAAACCGCAAACTCACTTGCAGACTGGCCTCAATTCTCAGAGTAAACTTTTTTATCTCTCCTGACTCACAATCCAGGGTAAGGCAGAGAAGTTTCCTCTTTTGCCCCATTCTGCCCTTTCAATAAGAATATAGTCCTTAGAAAACCTCATGTTCTGTCCTCTTGTACTGTTAAAACTCAGCAGGCAAATAGTCCTGGTTGGCTGGTTTCAACATCTGTTTAACACTCTGGCTTCCTCTTTGCTTCTGGCCCATGGTGTTTTCTTCCACTGAGCGTACTTAGTGCCTCTGTGGCTGCCATGTGTTTGTGTGGCATTTAGTTATAGAGTGATATGGTTTGGCCGTGTCACCACCCAAATGTCATCTTGAATTGTAGCTACCATGATTCCCATGTGTTGTGGGAGGGAGCCGGTGGGAGATAGTTGAATCATGGGGGCGGTTTCCCTCATACTGTTCTCGTGATGGGGAATGAGCTTCATGAGATCTGGTGGTTTGATAAGGGGTTTCCCCTATCGCCTAGTTCTCATTCTGTCTTTTGCCTACTGCCATGTAAGACGTGCCTTTCGCCTTCCACTGTGATTGTGAGGCCGCCCCAGCCACGTGGAACTGTGAGTCTGTTAAACCTCTTTTTCTTTATGAATTACCCAGTCTCGGGTATGTCTTTATCAGCAGTGTAAAAAGGAGCTAATACATAATTAACCATATGCCATCCAATTTTGGTTTTTTTTCCATAATAGATTTTATTTTTTGTTTAACAGACTTTATTTTTTAGAGCAGTTTTAGGTTTACAGCAAAATTAAGTGGAAAGTACAAGAATTATTTTATACCCTCTGCCCCGACACATGCACAAACCTTCCCCACTCTGGACATTCCACACCAGGGTGATACATTTGTTATAATTGATGAACCTACATTAAGGCATCATTATCAACTAAAGTCCGTGGTTTACATTAGCATTTTCTCTTGGTGAACACATTCAGTGGGTTTTGACAAATGACAAATAACATGTAGTATCATACAGAGCAGTTTCACTGCCCTAAAAATTCTCTGTGCTCTCCCTGTTCATCCCTTCCCTCCCCTCAACCCCTGATCCTTTTACTATCTCCATAGTGTTACCTTCTCTAGAATATCCTATGGTTGGAATCATAGCATTTCAGATTAACTTCTTTCACTTAGTAATAGGCATTGAAGTCTCTTTATGCCTTTTCATGGCTGGATAGCTCATTTCATTTTGTCTGGCTGTACCTTATTTGTATTTCTGATTTATCTTTTATGTATCTGATCTTGTCTTGAAGAGGTGAAAACTCTTCATAGAATAACAAATGTTATTCATTGCTTCTTTTTGCTCGCTACAAAACGGATTATGCCATATTCTCAGTGTGTGTTTGATAAATAGTAGTTCAGTGAGTAACACATGAAATCCTAGTAGTACTCTTTTTTTTTTTTTTGGAAAGACAGACTTCTAGCTGCTTTTTACCATCCAGAATATGTTGATTACTGAGAAAAAGATTTGAGCACCAAATGATAGTCATAAAGGCTATATATTTAATTTCTTTTTTTTTCTTTTGAGACAGAGTCTTGCTCTGTTGCCCAGGCTGGAGTGCAGTGGCAGGATCTTGGCTCACTGCAACCTCCGCCTCCTGGGTTCAGGCGATTCTCCTGCCTCAGCCTCCCGAGTAGCTGGGACTACAGGTGCCTGCCACCACGCCCAGCTAATTTTTGTATTTTTAGTAGAAACAGGGTTTCACCATATTGATCAGGCTGGTTTTGAACTCCTGACCTTGTGATCCGCCTGTCTTGGCCTCCCAGAGTGCTGGGACTACAGGTGTGAGCCACCGTACCCGGCCGTATTTAATTTCTTAGTGTAGGGGAAAGAACCCCAAGGCTCTCTTGCCTGTGTATATAAATAAAATGAGAAAGTGGCATAGGGACAGGAGGGCACACAAACTTGAATCAAGACTTGGTAGCTGGGTTCAAAGAAAGGAAACAGGAGAGCTTTGCAAGGTAGGATGAAGAAGTATTGTAGCTTTTTAGTGATATTATCTGATCCACTAGCTCCTTCTATGGATGAGGAAAGTGGGAACCTGAAAATGGAAAGAATTTATCTGACGTCACAGAATTTGTGTCTTGACTGGAACTATCAGCTTAGTCTTATCCTAAGACATCCTCCTGGATATCTTCTACATACTTACCCAACTTTATCTAAACAAAACTGTCTTTTATCCATATTTAAACAAATGCTATCGTTAACCTCTATCTTAAAGGTTGTTAAAAATATGCATTCCTGTTTCATGCTGGGTTGTGGAATTGAGAGCACAAGCATATTAGAAATGAGAGTTTTCTGGTACAGTGTGTTGATGCTCATTGGCTTTTTTTTTTTTTTTGAGAAGGAATCTCACTCTGTCACCCAGATTGGAGTGCAGTGGTGTGATCTTGGCTCACTGCAACCTCCACCTCCCTGGTTCAAGCAATTCTCCCACCTAAGCCTCCTGAGTAGGTGGGATTACAGGCGCCTGCCATCACACCTGGCTAATTTTTGTATTTTTGGTAGAGACAGAGTTTCACCATGTTGGCCAGGTTAGTCTCGAACTCCTGACCTCAAGTGATCTGCCTGCCTCGGCCTCCCAAAGTGCTGGAACTGCAAGCGTGAGCCACTGCACACAGCCTCGTTGGCCATTTCTTAAAAGATTTGTGTTGAGAAACACCGTCAGGTTTTTGTTTTTGCTGTGTGTGGCTCACTCTTCTTTGACTGCTTTCCATTTACGTGGAACCAGAAAGTCTGAAACCACTTGTTTTAGACTAAATGTCCGTTATATAGTCATTAGCCCTTGAAGACATTAATGGAATTGATACTTGTGAGGATAATATTGAGTAATAATCCAGGTCTCAGAAAAGCGTGAGATTTATTTTAGAATGACTTACATGAATGACAGTTAATAGGCTAGTTTCATTGCACCAAGGGTTAATTAAGTGTTAGTCATTTGGAACATTTCCACTGTTTCTTAAATTAAAAAAGTATTATTAATGTTATCTTTGATTAACAAATCATAATTCTATACATTGATGGGGTACAGTGTGATTTACAGTGTGGCGTGATTAAATCAAGCTAATTAAGGTATCCATCACCTTGCTTACCTATCATTGTTTTTGATGAGACATTTGAAGTTTGTTCTCTTCTTATTTTGAAATATGTAATGCATTGTTGTGGATGATAGTCACCCTGCTGTACAATAGATCCTGAAACCTATTCCTCCTGCCCTCTGAAACTTTGTGCCCTTTTGATCAGCAACTCGTCATTCCCTCCCTTTCCCCCTGACACCCCACAGCTTCTGGTAACCGTCATTCTATTCTCTACTTCAGTGAGTTCAACTTATTAGATTCCACATATGAGTAAGATCATGTGGCATTTGTCTTTCTGTGCCTGGTTTTCTTCATTTAGCATGATGTCCTCCAGATTCATTCATGCTGTTGCAAATGACAGGATTTCCTCCTCTTCTACGGCAGACTGGTATTCCATTGTGTGTATACACAACATTTAGAAAAATCCATTCATCTTTTGAAGGATGCTTAGGTTGTTTCCATATCTTGGCTATTGTGAATAATGCTGCAGTGAAAGTGGGAGTGCAGTTATCCCTTCAGCCTATCGATTTCCTTTCTTTTGGATGTATACCCAGAAGTGAGATTACTGGATCATATGGTATTCTATTTTTAGTTTTTTGAGGAACCTCCATGCCTTTTTCCATAATGATTGTACTAATTTACACTCCCACCAACAGTGTTTAAGAGTTTCTTTCTCTCCAGATCCTCTCTAACACTGGTTATCGTTCATCTTTTTGATAACAGCTATCCTAACAGCTGTGCACTGATATCTTGTTGTGGTTTTGGTTTGCATTTCCCTAATGATCAGTGACGCTGAGCATTTCTTCTTGCACCTATTGGCCATTTGTATGTCTTCTTTTAAAAAATGGAACATTTCTTTTTGGGGAATATTGGATTTCTCCTGAGTGCCAAATGAATGAAGCACTAAACGTGTAAAGCTGAATACATACTGAGGGCAGCAGGCTGTAGGAGCGTATTTCGGTTAAAAAACCATATATTTAGAAATTTTAAAGAAATTTTAAAGAAAAGCTTAAAATGAGCGTCTGCTCACTCCAGTTACCCAAGTGGGTAAATGAAGTGCCATTCTTTATTACTAATCTGCCAGTAGTCCTCTTAACCACTCTCCCCACATGAAAATCTGAAATTGGGTCAATAACAAGAACCTTCGGTTTTAGATTTTTAGTTCAAATTTGCATTTTTTTTTAAAAAGGTAAACCAAAGGTCTTCAGCTCTATTTTCTTTTTAAATTCTAGATAAGCTATTGCCAGGTGATGAAGGAGCCCTTTGGTTGCACCTGATGCATTATTGCGAAGCATGTACAGCACCCAAAATGCCAGAGTTCATTCTGTACACTTTCCATAGCGCGTACCGGAAACTGCCGTGGAAGGACCTGCACCCTGACCAGATGCTCATGGAGGCCTTCTTCAAAGTAAGCCCTTCACTCCCTGGGTTGCAGCCCAGAGAGATCTGGTTTCCAGGGAGCAGCCTGGTCACTGTGGTTGTTAGGCATAGTGGCAGTGTGTGCCAGCGTGGACCGTGAATACATTCTGTGTTGCCTCGGTGGTGCTTGTGGAAAACAGTGTCCCATGGAAGTCATTTCATTGTATTAACACATCTACAGGACCATTTTTAAAACCCAGAGAAAGATTTGATCTATAATATGTCAGTCATCCCCTAGGCTTTGTCATGTGTGAGTACATAGTTTAATGCCTCCATTACGCTTAATCTTGGTGGTTGTTGATGTGTTTGTGTCATTACAGTTTGTGTCATCAACTGTGTATTGTTAAATGTTCTATTAAAGCAAAATGTAAATTGGTACTGAAGCTATTAGTTTCTTTTAGCAGTCATGCAAGTGAATAATTTGATTATATTAGATAAAATGCATTGTGACAACCGATGAATGCATCATAATCGTGTACAGACCTGAAATGACCTGAAAAAAGAGAGTATGTGCGAGTCTTTGCAGTAGAAGCAATGGTTACAAAAACCAGAAAACAGACAGTGTAGTGTAACTTACATACCAGTCAGGCATTTGGAGCTGTTATTGCTTTTCTTTTTTCTTTTTTTTTTTTAATTACACTCTTGTCTTAGGTTTTTATGGTAGTTTCAGTTCATTTGTTCATAGTCTCATCAGTTAGTGTTTACTCTTACTATCACATTTATTACTGAGACACCTTAAGTGCTTTGATACAGATGTACACTTATTTATGACAGTTAGCAAAATGTACTTAACTTTTTTAGTGCCCTTAATGGAAGCCCATCTGTGCTGTCTTGTCAGCCACTCCTCAGTAGCTGAAATGCAAGAAAAGCTGAGGGCAGTTGTTCTAGAGAAATTCAAGACTTAAGAATGATTTTATAGCTAGATTTAGTATATGAGACAGGCATTGAGTAAATATTTATCACCATTATGACCATACTAGAGAAAGGTGGTTTAAAGAACTATAAGATGGAGTTTTAACTAAGTAAAAGGATGACCTTAACTATAAGACAGATTAAATAGTAGCACAGCCTGTTAAGGGACGCTGTAGACTCTGTCTCTAGGAGTTTTATTCTAATGGCAGATGACCCTGACCACCCCAGAAGCTGGGGATGTTTTAATTCTTTGTGTCTTCTTGGCATAATAAACTATATTTTTTTTGGTGGGGTTGAGGGTGAGGATAGAGAACTGATTATAATGGACAATGAAGAATCATTTTCTAAAAGAAAGAGAATTAGTAGTTAGCATAATATAATAACAGTAATGAGAAGAAATGAATCATCACCAAATTCAATTGATCATGATTTTATAAATAGACTAGAGCTTTTAATCTTCATATTGAAAGGAAAAATTCATGAGTAGCCATGTTTTATTTTAAACAAATTAGAAGTATTGAAATAGCTTGTAAGAGATCTTTGAGGTTTCTTGTATACTTTATAGTACATCTGTTCCTCATTCTCTTATTTTTTTTTTTTTTTCTTTTGAGATGGAGTCTCGCTGTGTCACCCAGGCTGGAGTGCAGTGGCGCGATCTTGGCTCATTGCAAGCTCCGCCTTCCGGGTTCACGCCATTCTTCTGCCTCAGCCTCCCAAGTAGCTGGGACTACAGGTACCCGCCACCAGGCCCAGCTAATTTTTTGTGTTTTTAGTAGAGACGGGTCTCACCATGTTAGCCAGGATGCTCTCGATTTCCTGACCTTGTGATCCACCCGCCTTGGCCTCCCAAAGTGCTGGGATTACAGGCGTGAGCCACTGCACCCGGCCACTCTAATATATTTTAAATAGAATTTAAACATGCAGTCATCAAAAATTGTAAAGACTAATAATGGGGAGACATTGTTATAATACAACATTACATTAAAAAGGGAATACAGGCCGGGCACGGTGGCTCACACCTGTAATCCCAGCACTTTGGGAGGCTGAGGTGGGCAGATCACCTGAGGCTGGGGGTTCAAGACCAGCCTGACCAACATGGAGAAACCTGGTCTCTACTAAAAATAAAATAAAAAATAAGCAATAAAATAATAAAATAAAAAATTAGCTGGGCGTGGGAGTGGGTGCCCAGCTACTTGGCAGGCTGAGGCAGGAGAATTGCTTGAACCTGGGAGGCAGAGGTTGCGGTGAGCTGAGATTATGCCATTGCACTCCAGTCTGGGCAACAAGAGTGAAACTCCATCTCAAAAAAAGAAAATTCAAAAAAGGCAATATAAATAATATACACTAGTGTAGTAGATCTCAAAGTAATGTGGTCCCTGGGACAGAAACATCAGCATTACTTGGGAACTTACACATTCCAGCTCCCAACCCATATGTGCAAAATTAAAAGCTCTAGGGGTAGGCCCAGCAATCTGTTTTAATACACTTTCCATTTAGTTCTGATGCGCACTTAAGTTTGGGAACTACTGACTAGTAAATCTCAACTTTGCCCTGTCCTGGCACACCTGAGGATTCTGATACACTCCCTGCAGCTCCAGTGACTTACTGTGGCAGCGATTCTCCACCCAGGTTGGGGTTAGGGAAGGTCATTCCTCACTTGTTAAGAATGATTGGAATAAATGCTGAAATCTGAACAGACAAACTAAAATATACACACATACATTGTGGAAGGAGAGATATTACAAATATTAAGTCTAAATCTCTAGGAGGTGGGATTGTAAGTGATATAATCTGGGGAAAAAGTGTTTTTTAAAAACATAATTATGAAATAATTTACATACATTTTCCAGATACATAGATAGCACAAGGCAACACATTGATTTTAATTCATTTCCTTCTAGGTGGAACGAGGAAGCCCCAAGAGCTGTTTCTTATTTTTGGGGTCTGTACTCTGTGAAGTCAATTGGGTTAGTGTGCTCTCTGATGCCTGGAATCCCAGTCCCCACCCAGAAACCCGCAGCATGATTGTCTGCCTCCTTTTCATGATGATTTTATTGGCAAAGGAAGTTCAACTGGTAGACCAAACAGTAAGTTTGGGAAGCTTATGGCAAACATTTGGCAAGGCTGATTAGATCTTTGCTTTCTACTAGGTCATAGTTTTTCATTTGTTTTTCCAGTGCCCCTATCAGTGTGAACAGATGCTTGGCATATGAGATGTACCTTTAACCAGATGCCTGATTTTCTTGGATAGCTCATTATCTGATTCTAAATTATACAAAGAACCACACTGAGTTAGAATATATTAATCAGCTTTATTTTACATCTCATTAATATCTGGTTCAATCTCTTGTATGCTTCTTGAAGTCAATTTTGGCATGTCCCACCAGAACAGAGAGTTCATTTGAAAGAAAAGAACCTGGGTTCCAGATACTCAATACATCTTAATATGAATGTGTTTTTGCCAAGACTTTGGTTATTGCTTTCACTAGTACCCCTAACTCGAGTAGATACTTACTTGATATTGTAACTGTTCTGTCCTTACCATAGGCCATCTTAGTGGTTATTCGACAGACTAGTTAGCAACACATATTTCTGGAAAAATTGGGGCTCTGGAACTAAAGGAATATGTGTTTTATTTTTAGGATTCACCTTTACTTAGTCTTCTTGGACAGACAAGCTCACTTTCATGGCATCTCGTGGATATTGTGTCGTACCAGAGTGTGCTAGGTTATTTCAGCAGCCATTACCCGCCATCCATCATCCTGGCAAAAGAATCTTATGCTGAATTAATCATGAAGCTCCTAAAAGTGTCTGCGGGCCTTTCTATTCCTACTGACAGCCAGAAGCATCTGGTAAGTTGAGAGGTAGTTTAAAAGGCAGGGACTGTTCTTGGAGATTGGTAGTAGCATAAGTGCTACAAAGGACAGTCTTGAACCTAGGAAGTGCTCAGCAGAGGAAGTTGGAGGATGTGTATTATCATATACTCATCTTTTGGCCTTGTAGATCTTTTGGGTTGAGTTCTCGTTTTGGGAGAGCCTTTACTTACTAGCAATGTCACATGTTGACGAAAGGTCAAAAGGATTGAGGGCTGCCAGCAAGCTGCTGGTTTCATGATCTGAATGTCATTGGCAGCAGAATGGGAGGGAGGGAGGGTAGTAATATGAGCTTGAGGTCTGACAGGACAAGTCCTTCAGTTTTCTCATCTGATTAGAAATAGTGCCTTGCAAAGGCTGGGTGCGGTGGCTCACGCCTGTAATCCCAGCACTTCAGGAGGCCAAGGCAGGCAGATCACCTGAGGTCAGGAGTTCAAGACCAGCCTGGTCAACATGGTGAAACCCCATCTCTACTAAAAATACAAAAGTTTGCCGGGTGTGGTGGCATGTGCCTGTAGTCCCAGCTACTCGGGAGACTGAGGTAGGAGAATCGCTTGAACCCAGGAGGTGGAGGTTGCAGTGAGCGGAGATCCCACCACTGCACTCAGCCTGGGCAACAGAGTGAGACTCTGTCTTAAAAAAAAAAGTACCTTGCCTCAAAGCGGTGTTGTGAGGGTTGAATTAGATAATGAACATAAAAGTTTTTGGAAAAGTGTCTGGCAAGTAGTTAGTGTTTGGTTGTTATTCTTGTAGTAAAAAAGGAAGAGTATTCTGCCAGAATTTGGGAAAACATGGGCCCTGGTCAAAGTGTTACCATAGATTTGCCTTTTACTAGACTCAGGGCCCTTGGGCCACGTGGGACTAAGTCTTCATGTGGCTTCCTGTTCTGTCTCCTCTACTCCCTACCCAAGCATTCATTGCAGTGCCATGCTCCCAGGAAATACGCAATTAACACTCCTTGCTTGGATTCATTTGAATGATTTTTTTTTTTTTTTGTCAGGATGCAGTTCCAAAATGCCAAGCTTTTACTCATCAGATGGTTCAATTCCTCAGCACCCTGGAACAAAATGGAAAAATCACCTTAGCAGTCCTAGAACAGGAAATGTCTAAGCTCTTAGATGATATCATTATCTTTAACCCACCCGGTAAGTGACTAGTCGGAAGTCCTGTATTCATTCAGTCAATGCATTCCTGCTGTGCGTGTGGCACTGTGAGATCAGGAGGGTGTTCAGGACACTGGCACTCCTCTTTCCAGAGAAGCAATGATCAGAGAGGTGTTTGGACACCAGGGACTGAGCAGTGGGGAAGGATTGACACTGGCAGATGCTGGTGGGTGATGGGTGAGACTGACCATTAAGCTGGACAATGGGATCTAATGATTAAGAGATACCAGAGACCTTTTATTGAGCGGTATTTCTAGGGATTTTGGCTTTTAACTGGAAGTGCACTTCAGAATCACCTGTAGACTTGTCAAGAAACTGTGTATGGAGAACTTCTGCTCCTGGCAGTTTGGTGGACTAGACATACTGACTGCCTCTCCTGCTGAAGACAAACTAGGTGCTGGATGAAATGTTTTCAAGAAACTGGAAATTAAATTTATCGGTGGAGTGGCCAAAAGGTAAGGAAACCTCAGAGGCTAGAACCTAAGTGAAAGGAGAAACCCATCAAGGCAGATGGAGTTCTGAGGCTGCTGTCACCCTGAAAAGTTTTGCTGAATATGTTGGATATTAGGGGGAGGCAGTAAAGCCCAGGGCCTGCCTAAGATGGGAGCCTAAAAGGAAATCCAATGCATAATCCACAGGGTGACATTTTTACTGTAAAGATGATCTAGAAGTAAACCTCCTCTTGTGAAAAGAAGGCAAAGACAGTTATCCGTTTTGGCCTTGCTGTTAGGTTAAATGTTTATGTAGGAAATGTTGTTAGGTTAAATGTTTATGTAGGAAATGTTGTTAGGTTAAATGTTTATGCAGGAAAAGAGATATCTGTTTTGAGAATTGATAAGCTGACCCTCATGTGGTTTTGAAGCAAGAATTCAGACTACCTAGATCGTTAAAAACAGCAATAATAACAACAACCACCTCAGTCTAAGAATTTAGAGTAGTTCCGGGTTGGCAGTGCCACTGCAAAAAGCAACCATAGATCCTGTTTGGAGAAACCCATCTTTAACTCAAGCCTCAAAGTTCCAAGAAAGTCACAGTAAAAAAAGTCACAAAACACAAAAGGAAACAAGACACCATGAGCAAAGTAATAGAAAACAACAGCAGCATCAGAAATGAAAAGATTGAAGATAGTGGAATAATTAGTACAGGAAGCAAAAAGATATTTTTATTATATGCTGAAATAAGAGAGGATTGAAGATATCAGTAAGAAGCAAGGGATTGTAGAAATATGCAGATTTGAGAGATTTATATATTTTAGAAATGAAAAATATAAAGATTATAATAAAGTTAATGGATAAGTTCAACAGTAGATTAAACCCATCTGAAGAGAAAATTGGTAAACTGGAAAATAAAACTGAAGAAAATACTCAGATTGCAGCACAGAGAAGCAGAAAAGGAATGTAAAAGTGAGCTGGGCATGGAGGCCGAGGCAGGAGGATTGCTTAAGGCCAGGAATTCGAGGCCACAGTGTGCAATGACTGTGTCTGAATACTGCACTCCAGCCTGGGCAACATACTGAGAACCCATCTCTAAAACAAACAAAAAGAATGTGAAAGTGAGGTTAAAAGGCATAGAGGATAGGCTGAGAAGGTATAATATACATCCGATTATCTAAGTAGAATTCCAGAAGGAGAGGAGATACTTAACTGGGGAGAAGCAATATCTGAAGAGATAGTAAGGCCGAAAAGTTTCAGGACTGATGAAGACAACAATCCTCAAATTCAGTAAACCCAGCAAATCCCAAGCAGGATATATGGAAAGAAATTCAAACCTGTATACACTATAGTGAACCTGCAGAAGCACCAGTGGCAAAATTAAAAAAATAAAACAAAACAAAACCCTTTACATCCAGGAAGGAAAGGCAGATTCCCTACCAAGGAGCAACGTTTAGACTGACAACTGACTTCTCAATATCAATCAAAGAATCTTCTTACAGAAGACAGTGGGATAACAACTTCAATGTGCTATGAGAAAATGACTCATAAACTAGAATTGTAAACTAAGAAAAGCCACCCTTTAATGAAGAAGATGAGGTAAAGAACCATACTTTCATTGAGCCCTGAGAGTGTTTGTCCCAGTAGATGTCACTAAAGAAAATACTAAAGCATGCTAGGAAGGAGATTGAGTTAAAAGTGTTCTAAGGTTCTACTACTGTTTAGTGGGTCAAGAGATTATACCTTGATAAAGTATGAATATTAACAACTTTAAGAGATTAACCAAAAGAATAGAAATTAAAATGTACAATTTCCAAGTCAGTAGAGGGAGATTAAAAGGAATGGCCAAAGTATGTTCAGTCCAAAGAAGGCAAGAAAGGAAGCATGGAGAAAGTGAGAAAAATAACCAAAATAAGATGATAAAATTCAAATGTGTTGGTAAAGGGACTAATGCTCAAGTTAAAAGACAAAGATTGTTAAGGTAGATTAATAACCAAAAACATCTAGCTTTAAGCTGTTTGTAAGAAATACATCAAAAGCATAAGGATATAGAAAGCGTTCCATAAGATGATTATATCAGGCAAATATTAAAATAGAAAGCTGGCATAGCTATATTAATATCAGATAAATAGAACTGTAAGGCAGAAAACTTTGTAAAAGCCAGATGTTCATCTCTGTGTATTTCTGCCCTGAAGTTGCATGACATAGAAAAAAAAAAAAATCAGTAACTAAATAGAACTAGAGGGAAAAACACTGTGGAAATTAAGAAGCAAACTTTTAAATAACTGATGGCCAAAGGAACAATCATAATAGAAATTTAAAATACTTAGAACTGAATAGTAAAATACAGTGCATCAAAATTTGTGGGATGTGAATTTGGCCTGTTCTCACACTGCTATAAAGAAAAACCCAACACTGGGTGATTTATAAGGAAAACAGGTTCAATTGACTCATGGTTCTAGAGGCTGTACAGGAAGCATGATGCTGCCGTCTGCTTGGCTTCTGGAGAGGCCTCAGGAAACTTACAATCACAGCAGAACACAGAATGGGAGTAACACTCCACATGGCCAGAGAAGGAGCAAGAGAGAGAATGAGTAAGGAGATGTTGCACACTTTTAAACTACCACATCTCTGAGAACTCTAGTATGAGAACAGCACCAAGAGGATGGTGCTAAACCATTCATGAAGGACCCACCCCCATATTCAGCCACCTCCCACTAAACTCTGCTCCAACACTGGGGACTACGATTCAACATGAGATTTGGTGAGGACACAGATCCAAACCATATCAGTTACTTTTAGGGCCATAAATGCTCATCATAGACTTTTTTAAAAGGTAAAAATTAAAAAACATTAAACAGTTATTTAAAAAGACAGCAAAATAACAATCAAAGGCAGTAGAAGGGAGGAAATAATAAAGAGAAAATAAATAGTAAGAAACTAAGAATGAAGAACAATGAAACTGGTAAATGTGTGGGTAAATCTAAATGAAATCTGACTGTATGCAACAATAATAATAGAAATGGCTTATTGGGTTATGGCAACAGTGGAGAAATGAAATTAGAATGTTCCAAAGCCATTACATCATCTGGGAACCAATTAACATCAGACTTCAAAAAATCAGGAATGCATGTTTTCATTTATAGGATAACCACT